ACTGGGGGCTGTCTCCTTCTTAAAGGGGGACAGGGGCCCCCCTAAAAGCTATCAAGGAGACAGTAGAGACGAAGACATGCTGAGAGGAGACAGCAAAGAAGGAGACAGCAGGGAAGGAGACAGTGGGGAAGGAGGCAGTCGAGAAGGAGACAGCAAAGAAGGAGACAGCAGTGAAGGACATAATAGACAAGGGGACAGCAGAGAAGGAGACAGAGGGCTTCATAAGAGTAGTAGCATAGAGAGGGCCTCAAGTGCACCAGCAAATGGAAACGCAGATCAACACCCCAAGCAGCAGCAGAAGCCGCAGCCGCAGCAGCAGCAGCAGCAGCAGCAGGGAGAGAGATGCTGCAGCAAGAGGCAGCTGAAGGTCACAGGTGCAGCTGCGGTTTGCTGCTGTGTGGGGTTAGGGATAGAAGGGGTTTTAGCTGTCTAGATGGGTTTAGGGTTTAGGGTTTAGGGCTTTATTTATTTGTTTGTCTGCATGATAGATTGAAGCCCGCGTCTGTGTCTGTCTCCCATTCTGCTGTCTCCTTTTGCTGCTGTCTCCTTTTGCTGCTGTCTCCTTTTGCTGCAGTCCCTGTCCCCTTCTCTCTCAAGACCTCCTCTAGGCCCACCAACTTAGCTGCGCTGTCTCTGCTGGCTGAGGAGCGCTTTAAGGAGACATATACATTTAGGCGTGAGTAGATTTTGTCTCTGTTTCTTTTGCAGTGCTGAGGCCGTTGCAGTGCTGCTGCTGCTCCTATTAAGCGTCTCCACTTTCTTTGTCTCTGTCTCTTCCTTCTCTGTCTCTGTCTCATTTGTCTCTGTCTCCTTTGTCTCTGCCTCTGTCTCCTTTTCAGCTGTCCCTGTCTCTTGTTTTTCTTTTCTGTTTGTCTCATCATCTTATACTATATCTCTCCCCTCACATTGCTGCATCTCTCTTCTTCTCTCTCCTTGTCTTTTGTCTGTCTTTTATCTGTTTACTTCTGCCGTTATTTGCTCCAATGCGGCGTTTAGGGTTTAGGGTTTAGGGTTTAGGGTTTCAAGAGTAGGGCCTAGAGCTTAAAGGCCTCTGCGGGGTTTGTATGTTGCCCTCGAAGACGCGCAAGTCGAGCT